TTGATTCCCTTCTTTCATTTTCTCTATTTTTGTTTTGTTATAGGCTACCTTGGATACTGTACTTAATATCTTAAACTTATAAATCTAGATTGAATATACCAGTTTAGTTTCAATAGTATACATGTATTCAGTTCTTGTAAATATCCATCCCTCCTTATATTGTAATTGTCATAGATTATATCATTATATATTGCATCTCCAGTTACATAGATTTATAATTACTACATCCTCCATTTGTTATTAAATCTTTCAGGAAAATGATTTAATATTCAAGAAAAAGAGAAGTTACATACTATATTGAAAGTATAATAACGCTGAAGGCCAGGGATATAGCTCAGAGGTGGAGTGCTTGACTAACACGCATGTTAGTGCAGAAAAAAAGCTATAATCACATTGGATTTATATTTATCTATAAAGTTACCAGTATTATTTTTTTCCATATAGTTTTAGGTTACTGTACAGTGTCCTTTCACTTCAGTCTGAAAGTCTCTCTTTTTCATTTTTTATATGACAGTCTACTAATAATGAACTCTGAGCTTTTATTTCACTGGAAATGTCATAATTTCTCATTCATTATTGAAAGATGATTTTGCTAGATAGAGAATTCTTGGTTGACCGTTGCTTCTTTTAGAACTTTATATATGCCATCTCATTACCTTCTGGCCCCTGTATTTTCTGAGAGGAAATCAGTTGTTGATCTTATTGAGGATTCCTTGTGCATGAAGAGTTACTTCTCTGCTGTCTTCAAAAATCTGTTTCTTTGGGTTTTGATAGTTTGACTATAATGTATCTTGTGTGGGTCTCTGAATTTGTGGAGATTCTTGGATACATATGTTGATATCTTCCCTCAGATTTGGAAAGGTTCTTTCCATTATACCTCAACTATTACTGAATCTTGTTAAGAGTTGAAGTGTCTGGTCTTCTGGGCTCTTTGCAGCTGTTGGGAGAGTGGATGGGAAAATGGAATGGTGCTGATACCATGGGAAAGATTGAAATTTGCCAGCCTCCTTTCCTGTGCACTCGAGTTCCAAAATAGTTACTTGAGATAGTTCCTGTGGGGTTTACCTTTAGATTCTATCTTCTTAGTTTTTTGTGTATTTCTTTTTATAGGTAATAAAACTGAAATGCAGTGTGTGTGTGTGTGTGTGTGTGTGTGTGTGTGTGTGTAAGAGAGAGAGAGAAGAAACAAACAGAAGTCTCTTAGAAAGTATAAGGAATTGGAATTTTAACTCAGAAATTCTACTCTAAATTCCATGTCTTTTTGACTAATCCAGAAATTGGAAGATGTGACTGGTTAAGACCTTGATCATATTTTGCTCAAGTTAGAAACCTGAAGGTACCCTTTCCCACTATTTAGAGGAACCTGGATTACAGCATTAGCCTTGGTATTTTAGCAGCCTACCAACCAAGTTACATGTTAGCCATGGATGGGTGTTAGTGATACTTAGCTGAAAAAGGGTGTCCTAAACTAGGGGAATGGTGGGAAAGCTGTCTTAGGGAGAGATTCCCAGAAGAAAATAGAGACAGAAGCTTTTTGTTACATTTCTACTCAGAAGTTATTAAGTAAACTCAAGGTCATTGCCCCAGTCCAATAAAAAATGAAATAGTCCCCATCTTAAGTATTATGTGTTTTGTTTTTCAGAAAATATTATTGTTATATTTAATTTTTAAGCCTTGTTTAAAATAAAATAAAATCTATAAAATGTCATTTTAATTTTATGTTATTTTAAGTAACTGTCTTATGGAGTCATACATTACTTGTCAGTATATTATAGTTATGCTTGAGGTTCTATAAATATGTAAAAAATGTTTGGAGGGTATGAGCATTAAAGAACATTTAATGGCATATGATTAATGCTTATCATTAATTGTGTGATTTTGCTATGTTCCTGTTGTCCATGTTTGGCTCTGGTGTTTTAGTTTAATGTATTTAGGTTAAATTGATCTCCTTTTAACATATCTTACTGTAGTTTTTTTTTTACTTCTCTTGATTAAATGTAACTATTGACCTATTTATTTATGCAGAGCTTTTTTTTTTTTTTTTTTGCCTGACCAGGGATAGAACACTCAGGGTCTCATGCTTGCTAAGCAAGTACTCTAGCACTTGAGCCGCACTCCCAATCTTTATATAGTATTTGAAAATTGTTCTTCCTTGTAAATACAATATGCAAATTACATACTATATTTAGATTAGTAGGTTTTCTTTGGTAAATTTTTTGTTATTTTTTGACTTAGCTAAGAAGAAGGGAATGAACCTATTTGACAGAAAGATGCAAGACCAACAGCATCTGCATTAAGGAGTTGTGTAAATGGAAGACTTTAATAGTCCATATAAGTTGACCATATCGATTAAGTAAGCTAAGAAGGGAGTAAGACTTGACTTTTTTAGCTTTACACAAAATTATTTCTTTGTTTTGGTGAAATCCGTTTGTTTCATATATGTGTAGATGGTTTATAATATGCAGGATTCTTAAATTAACATAAAGTTCTACATTTTGCAGTGTTTTGCTTTAATGTATATATCTATATTTCTTACTGCAGAATGTTTTGGTCCACTGCAGTATAGTTTACTTCTAGTTCAAGTGCAACACAATATACCATCTTCTGGAAAAATATTTATGTTATTCTTTTGATACCTATGACAAAACTTGAGTAGATATGATCATTCTCATTTTACAGAAGAGGAAAGTAGGAAGTGTAGATAAATACCCTGTCCAAAGTCATGCAGAATAAAAGTAGTAGGTTCAGATTTATGTGTTGATCTGTGCCTATAAGGCTTATAACTCCAATGAACAAAGCTACCTCTGCTAGGATAATCATTCTCAGAGCTCAGTCTGTATGAAACCCCATCAAGGGTCCATGGGCTCAAAACCCTTTTCATGATGGTATCCCAGCATTTTGTCTAGTTTTTGTTGTATTGACATTTGTACTGATAGTACAAAAACAGTGATGATAAACTTTCTGGCTCCTTGTCATAGATCAAGATAGTGATAGCAACTATACTAGTAGTAGTTGTATTCATCATTGTTATTCTCTTGCAGTTAAAAAAGAGAAAAAAGAAAAAGAAAATCTTGTTTACTAAGAATGTCCTTACCTTTCTCTTTGAGATATTAACAAGCTCCAAGGCTCTTTGGATGGGAAGGACAAAAAGAAGAAAAGACATGTCAACAAATGGAAGTTCTAAAGTGCACTTGTGCTTTGTTCCTGTGATTTGAGTAGTCTGGATGACACGTTCCTTGTTTTGGCAGCCATCTAAGCCATCCAGATTCAATATCATAATGACCACGAGTATTCCTGCTGCTCAGAAAGTATAAGTCTAAGAGATGAGGACCATCACCTTGAGTCTTTACTCCTCTTTCCTGCATGAGGAGCAGGAAATGTTTCTCCCTTCATTTTCCCATTTCTCCCCACTTTTACCCTGTTATACTAAATTCCTTTTCTAATAAACTTTACTGTTGTTTTTACTACAAAAAAAAGAATGTCCTTGATGTAGCAAAAATTTTTAAATCTTGAGTCACATCTTTTTAATATTCTGTATGACTAAGTAGATGTACACATAAAGCAGTTTTCCTAGAGACAACCATGATACTTTGGTACACAGCAAAAGTTGTGTCATTATGTGAGTTGTGACCTGAACTAGACACTTGGTTTCATAAAAACATTATTTTAACTTCAAATAAGGATTGACAGACAAATTACAGTTATGTAGATCTGAGTATTTGCCAAAGTGAGCCTCAAGGAAAATAAATGACAGGGTTTCTTTTTTACAGTGATAAAATTTGAACTGTGAAGAAAAAATGAGAATTTTAGAAATTGAATCTGTTACTGTGAGCTTAATGGGTACCTAATACTTGAAGACTCTTCTGTTGAGATGGGTGGTAATGTGCTTTAAAATAGCATTTGGAAGATCTGTATTACAATGAACACCACTATTTCCAAAGGACCAATGTATGGTTTTACAAAATCTCATCCAAGTGGAAGATGCATTTTTATGTACAATGTGTCTGGAAAGCTCATTGACACACATGCAGATTCTGTAATCTCCAAGAAAGTACTGCTCTTATACCTTTGATGTAATATCTAAGACCATTTAAGTAAATCTTCCTTTTATAACTAGTTATCTCTGTGAAGCCAAATTTTTTTTCTATATTTCTATATTTCAGTACATGGTAATAGAGTAAATGCAAAGCAGATATGAGAATTTCCTTTTAAGCCAGACATAAATAGGATAGGCAAAATTTAAAGTAGTGCTGTTCTTCTGATTATTTTTATGGTGGAAAATCTTCATAGAAATGTTAGTAAATTTAAATTGGTTTGTTATTGTTATCTTAAGTGAATCAAATACTAATTTCTCAGCTGTAGCCATGTGAACAAATACTCTAAAGGGTCTGTGGGTTTTTTTGTTTTGTTTTGTAGAAAACTAAAGGATCCCAAGAATAAAGAGTTAAGAGTTGCTACTGTAGAAAAAAGCATTAAGAAAGTACAGTGTATGCAGGACAGAGTAGGACAGAACCCTAAGCGTGAGTGCTAGCACTGCATTTGCGGGTTCTGCACTGTGTGCAAACATGTTTTGTCTACCTTTAGTAGACATACAATGTCTTTGGCCTCCATGATTTCTTAATTAAATATCACATACTGTTATTTTAAATTTGGTCTGTCTTTCTCAAACCATCTACAAGTAAGACACTTATTTGTATAGCATTGCTGTTTTCTGATGTTAACATCATAATAATGAGACATTTATTTAAGATTACCCTTATCAGCTGCTCTGAAAGTTTTTCAGAAGTATGACAAAAGTTTACTAGTTGACCACCTACTTATTTATCCTGATCCTTTCCTTTTCAGTTGGACTCTTAGTGGAGTTTGTGGGCTTACTTCACTGATGAGAATTTGGTATATATTGGGTGTAAATGTTAATGAATGCAGTTCATCAACAGGGTTTGGTGACTAGATTCCAAAGCTAAAAATATCTAAATGTGTGTTTTTCTTCATACCTGCAGGATGACGTAGCTTTGCCAAAGACTAAGAAGCTAAGCAAAAAATGAGCTTAACATCCTGGTTTTTGGTGAGCAGTGGAGGCACTCGCCACAGGCTGCCACGAGAAATGATTTTTGTTGGGCGAGATGACTGTGAACTCATGCTGCAGGTAACTGTATCAACTTCTGTACGTGACTCCTCATCTTGGAATAGGCATAAATATTTTTCTACTCCTTTAGGTATGAGATTCTCCTTTAGAAAGCCACAGTATTTGCATTTAAACTTTCTGGCTCTCTTTCTTTTACCTCTAGCATCAATTTAATTAATTTCTCATCCTTGAATCACCTGTAAATAAGTCCTAAGTTTCAAAAATTATATTTTGAAAAATGAGGGCATAGAATAGAGAGGTTTATTCTCAAGTAAGAAGTTTCATATTATATGCTTTTCAAATAAGACTTGTAAATAATTTATAAAATTAGCATGGAGTAAAACTGAATTTTAATCCTGTATATTGAACTTAGTTTCACTGATTCTTTTAAAGATATTCAATATGATATTCACCATAATTTGAACATAATTAAAGATTGTTGGGATTTTTTGTTTGTTTTTTAACAGTACTAGAGTTCAAACTCGGGACTTTGTGCTTACATGGCAGGTGCTCTACCACTTGAGCCTTTTTCTTTGGTTTTTTTGCTCTGGGCTTTTTGCCCAGACTGTCCTGGACTGGGATACTACTACTTTTAAGCTTCCTACCATCACTGGATGAGGAACACACATTACCATACCCAGCTTTTTTCTGTTGAGATGAGATGTCAGAAATTTTTTTGCCAGGACTAGCCTGGAACTGTGATCCTCCCAATCTCAACCTCCTGTGTAGCTTGGAATGACAGGTGCACACCACTGCAACCCGCTGTTGGTGAAGGTAGGGTGGCATACTTTTTGCCCATGCTGACCTCCAACTGTGAACCTCCCAATTTCAGCCTCCCATATATCTAAGATTACAGGTGTGAGCCACTAGTACCCTGCTAATTGTTGGGATTTTTAAAAATAAGTTTTATTGTTTATATTTCATATATACAATACGATGGTATAGGATACACATAGAGGCAGAAAGGTTATTATAATCTTACAAATTAACATACCCGTCATCTCATATAGCTACCAATTTTTTTATTTTTGTGGAAAGAGTAGCCAAAATGTTAGCTTGCATCCAGTGTACTGTACAGTTTTATAATTTATATTCTTCATGTTGTATATTAGATCTCTAGACTAGTTCATTTTACTTATCTGCTACTTTGTATCCTCTGACCTACATTTCCCCATCCCATCCCCATGACCCTGCTAACAAGTGTTCTCTATCTATATGTATGTGTATGTGTGTTTTCTTTTTTTAAAAAAATTCCACATATAAGTGGGATCATACAATATTTGTCCCTCTGTATCTGGCTTATTTTACTTAGCATAATAAGTTCTTTTTAATCCATTCCTTTGTTAGTGGACGTAGGTTGTTTCCATGGCTTGTGAATAATGTTATAATGTTCATGAAAGTGCAGATATCTTTAGAAAGTGGATTTCCTTTCTTTCAGAAAGGAATATGTTCTGGTAATATACCCAGAACAAGTTTTTCTGGGTCATATGTAGTTCTGTTTTTAATTTCTTTAGAAACCTCAATACTGTTTTCTATATGGCTACATCAGTCTACATTCCCACCAACAGTGCACAAAGTCCCTTCTTTTGTATTCCCTTGCCAGAATTTGTTATCTTCTGTCTTTTTCATATAAGTACCACGTGCTAACCGATTGTGCCACTGGAGCTCCCTTCTGTCTTTTTCTTAAGAGCCTTCCTAATGGGTGTAAGGTGGCTTCTCTTCATATGGTTTTGATTTGCATTTCCCTGATGATCTAAGACATTGAGCACTTGTCATACATTTGTAGGTCATTTTTATTTCTTTTCATAAATATTTATTCAGGGGTTTTGCCCATGTTTAAATTTAGTTATTTTTCACCTGTTGATCTGTATGATTTTTTTCATAAATTTTAGATATTATCCCCATCTCAGATATATGGTTTGTAAACATGTTTTCCTAATCTGTAGGCTGCCACTTTTATTTTGTTGTTTGCTTTTCTTGTTATGCCGAAACATTATAGCTTGATGTAGTCCTATGTATTTATTTCTGCTTTTGTGGCCTGATCTTTTGGTAGTGTGATAACCAAATAATTATTGCCAAGGCCACTGTCCAGAAGCTTCTCCTCTAGGAATATTACAGTCTTTTCCTTTAGGCTTAAGTCTTTTCTCCACTTTGTGTTGATATAAGGGTTCAGTTCCTTTTTTTTTTTTTTTTGCATATGGAAATCTAGTTTTCCTAGCACTACTTATCAGAGAGACTGTGCTTTTCCTCTTTGTACCATTTTCTCAAAGCTACTTTACTATATTATATTCATATTTATTTCCATTTCACTACTCTATGTGTCTGTTATGTCAAGGCCATACTGTTTTGATTACTATAGTTTTGTAATACAATTGGACGCTTATGAGAAAGTAAATGAATTTTTTATCGAAAGGACTGAGTCATGGTCTAGAAGCCACAGCAGTAAACTAGAGAATTCAGACAGCACTTTTTTTTTTAACTTAGCAAGATACTGGACTTTGGAGAAGGGCAGCCTGCATTTTAAAGGAATGCAGTAGAATTAGTGTTCTCAAGGGAATGCCAGACTTCAGTTAAAAGAAAGAAGTAGGAGGCAACCATCTATGAAGAGCATGAAACAAAGAGAAATTTCAAATAAGCTAGACTCTGAAGAGTACAGGGCAAACCTTGGGAAAAGAGTCTTTGAGGAAATAAAAATTGGAAAGAAAACACTAAGTGGACAGTGAGCAGAGGGAATCTTTCTTTTACGAAGCTGAGGGCAACAGAAAGAAGGGGTCTAGTCAAAAATGACTACAGTTTTAAGGCTGGATCAGCAATGTTTAAAAAAGTTAAAATGAAAGGCTGTTATTAAAAGTTATTTTCCTTAAATTTCAGTTCTAAAAAACACCATTAAAGTAGCCAGAGCATTGTCTTCACTTCTGTCTGAGATCCTCATCATCCCAGAGTAGTTGTCTGGTATTTCTTTCCTAAAAAAAAAACAAAACAAAACAAACACCTTGTTAGCATATATTACTTGTTCAGGGGCTTTCATTGTGACATTTCCATATATTCTTACAATGTACCTTGGTTAAGTTCATCCCTACCATCATTCTTCCTCATCCCCCTACCGTCTACTTAAAATGATTTCAACAGGTTTCAGTGTTCTATGTTCATACATGTATATAAAGTACATCAACCATATTCACCCTCCTTTACCCTTTCCACATACCCTTCCCCTCCTACCAGTACTCTACTCCCAACAGGACCTGCCTTACATTTTATCCTTCATTTAAGTGTATATTCATGGTTCAAAAGGTTTCATAACGGTATTTCACCAATGAATAAATTGTACTTTAATCAGTTCCTCTGCCTTGCCCTTTCCCTCTGCCTCCTATTATTCATAGCTTTCAGTGCATTTCATTATGCCTTCTTCCTCCACAGATGCAATGTATTTCAATATTATTCACTCTTTATCATTCTGTCTTCCTCTTCCTCCTCCCCTCCTCAAATAGTCCCACTATTGGAAACATGTTGTACGTGTGGGGGAGGGGGGGGTATTTGTATTTGTATAATACAAATGTAATGGTTTTACTTTTTTTTGTGTGGAATGAATGGAGTTTGAACTCAGGGCTTCATGCTTGCAAAGCAGACACTCTACCTCTTGAGCCTTGCCTCCAACCACAAGTTTTATGTTTAGCTGTAATTTGCCATAATGGGTGGTTTTCATGTAAACTATAGAGAAGTGGCAGTAATACTACTGTTCATAGAAGTCCTTTTAATTCTGAAATAAGTAATTTGTCTTAAAGCAATTCAAATTTCAGAGAAAACTAAAACTAGAGAATTACCTTTGAAGCTTTCAAGAACAAGTGTGCTTGACAAATTTGTAGACTTTGTTGGAGATTGTTTTAGGTAACATACTGTCTCTAATGGCACCATATAAAGAATTTTGAATTCTAAAAAAGAAAGTGCAAAAGGTTTCCAATTGAGGAAGAGTTTTTAATTTTAAATTTTAGTTAAATTTATTTGTAAAGGTTATCATTTGATCTAGGATTTACATCTTACTATTATTTTAACCAGTGCCTCCTCATTTTGTTTATCTGACTAGGAGTTAGGCTGTGTTTACCTTTTGCTGTAGTTGAGGTGTCAGGCTAGCATTTTCTCCAGTATCTTTGTTTTTCTCTCCACCCATTGTCTTAGGTTTCTTTTCCCTAGAAACCTCTATTACAGAGAGTTTGAAGCTTTGCTGTTCTTCCATTGGGAAACCTTCTTGCCTTTATATGTGCATGCAAATCTCAGTTGATGTCATAACTGTGTGTGGAGAGAAGGCATTCTATAAATACTGTGATTCGTTTTCTAGCTTTTGGTAGGGTTGTGACCTTCTCAGCTTTATTTCCTCTCTGCCCCCTCAAGTGAGATAAGAAGGCTATATGGGGCTGGAGCTGGTGTTCCCATTCTTTCCTGTCCTTTAGGCTCTGGTAAAAAATAGGTGTTTCCTTGAGCACAGGCTGCTGATTAGACCAAGATGCAATAGGTATATTCCAGTTTGGTTACTTCCACCTACCCTGCTGGAGACACATGTTTTCCCTGTCTTCACCTTGAGACCAACCTGGGGCTTCTGGAAGTAAGACTTAGAAAAGAGTGATGGTCTCACTAAATCTGTGGCCCCAAAAAAAAAAAAATACAAAAAACATTGTAACAGTGTCAAATTTTTTTGAAAATACAATGTGGCATATTCAACAAAGTGAGCTAATTTAAATTCTCTCAAAGTTAGAACATGAGAACTGAGTATAAAGAATATTAAAAATTTGGTTTCTTTCCTCTGTGGGGAGTGTTGCCAAATTTGTGTTGTATAGTAACACAATTTAAATCTCTTTTAATCTACTTTTACTTTCAACTACTCTATTAATAATATTGCATATCTAACTAAAAATCTTTGTTTCATATTCATTCTAATATTTCCTTGTATTTATTAACAACATTCCTTTCAGTCTCGCAGTGTGGATAAGCAGCATGCTGTAATCAATTATGACACCTCTACGGACGAACATTTAGTGAAGGATCTCGGCAGCCTAAATGGGGTAAGTCAGCAAGTTTATTATTTTCTCTATTTGAATACTTGTTTACTATTATGAGAACACAAATTCCATATCCTGCACAAATTATATTACCTTTTTCTTTAGTTTGTATTTAGTTTCTATATACTAGGTATATAGAACTTTGGGGCTATGTAATTGAATATAGAACTAGCTCATGTTCCCAAGAAATACTCAGCAGGAATTAAGAAAGTCACTGATTATTATTATCTGTAAGAATTAAAGATTTCTTAAGGCAGTGTGCCCTAAGCCTGACCTCACAATGGTTGCAATATATGTTAGAAAACCGTAGAACGTCTTAGCAGTTAGAATGCAGAAAGTGCTCAGGGACAGGGAAATACAAGTACACTTTAGAAAATAAAGATGGAAAGGTGGTTTGGTACAGATAGTGAATGACCTTCTATGTCCTATACCAGGATTGGGAGGACAACCACTTAGCTTAACACATGTGCTATATTATCAACACCAATGCCATTCTTGCTTCATTGACTTTGTATTTTTAAGATATTTTTGTGGTGGTTACTGCAATGAATTTTTCCCTTATCTTTTCATGTAGTCTTTCTACATTTGGGAGAATATAAGTAGCCACAGAATATAAGTACTAACCAGGCTTAGCTTCCAAGCTTAGACGAGATTGGGCGCGCATTCAGGGTTGTATGGCTGTAGACCCAATTTCTTAATTTTCTCACGGCTCTTCTAACATAAACAGATATAATATGCTTCATATGTATGCTGCTGAAATTCTTAAAATTAATTTAACAGAAGGTAAGATGTATTCCAATGGCTTTAAATTGCTACTGCTTTTGAAAATATGTATTAAACATTATGCGGAAAACATATGCAGAAAATTTGTAAATAAAGAAAACTTTTTTTTTCTAGTTCTTAGTTGGTCTACGGAGGACTTTTGTGTTTATTCTTTGAGATTTTTTTTTTCCTGTTTTATTCAGGCCTTTGTTTCTTTCTCATAGCTCCTGGAATTAAGTCAGTATTCTTCAAGTTTGCACTGAAACCCCTCACAGTTGGCATTGGCCCCTTTCACAGACTCATGCTCCAGCATACTTTCCCTGGGTCTGCCTCAAAAACTATAGTCTTCCTACTATGTGGTCTCCTTCTCCCAATAGATTTCCTTTAGCCTGGTGGTTCTACCATCTTTTTGCCATTATAAAAGTATAGCTCACATTCCACTTCTTTCTGAAGGGATCGAAGAGAAGGCCCTTGAATAGAAGTATTAACTTATTGGACCCAAGGCCCAAACTCCTGAGATTTCATATGCCAGGTCCAGCCACCTGCCTCTAAATGCCAAATAAAGAAGCATGGTGAAGGCAGAAAAAGGAGTTTTACTACACAGTTTGGGGCGTGCCATGGGAAGAGGCAGAGTAGCACTCAGCTCATCCTCAGCCATCTTTGGGGTACAGATATTAGCTACAGGTTTAAGTAGACAAAAGAACTGGAGGCAGGGGACAAAGGTATGCATAGTTAAAACAGTTCCAGTCTACAGGTGTGGTCCTGACTGGCAGAACAGTCTTGGTCAGGCAGGTGGTTTGGTGAGTTCATGACTGGCAGAGTCCTCAATCTTGGTCAGGCAAATGGTCTGGTTCAGTTTTGGAAAGTTATCACCTAGAGGGAGTAATCTGGTTCCTGTTTGAGTGGATTACTCTGGCTTGGGATGTGAATTGTTCTCACTGGGAGGATGGCAGCTCCAGGTGGCTCTGGTTCCTTGCCATAAAGATGTTATCAGTTCTGTTCCTTTTGGAATCCAAGGTGATTGCAAAGTGACCATAAAGAGAATGGCTTAGAGCAAAGACAGATACAAAACAGAGTCAGGGATGCCAAGTTTCTTCTGTTTTTAGTTCATTTGTGGGACCAAGAAAGAAGTCTGTACTTTTCAGCAAAAGCGGTTTGAGTGTCTCTTACATTATCAATGTTACCATGTTGACAGGATTAAAATAAAAAGAGATGGGCAAAGTGAGCAGAAACTGTTCTAACAAAAAACAGGTAAGTTAGCAACTTTGATTCCCAAGTAGGTGGAATTTTTTTCTGCATCCATAAACTTGTGTTTAAATTTCTTATTTTGGGTGCTTCATGAGCCCTACTTCAGATCTACTTCACATCTGTGTTGCTGTGTTGGACTATGAGCTCCTGTGCCGCTTGCTCTGTGATTATCACCATGTGCGCACAGGGCTCCACACAGTGTTTGAGCCCAGTGGAATTGAATTAGTTTTCAGTCTAGTTCTGTATGTGAAATAGTTTCACAAGATTGTATTCTCTAAGTCCAGAAAGTTTCATGTTAAACACAATGGTATTCTTTTGTGTCTTTACATTGTTATGTGGAGAAATAATAAGAATTAAACCAGTATTTTAGTCTTTTTTAAAAAGTGGAATAATTTGAAAATTATTTGATGTTATTTTTAAAGTCAGATAAAATATGACCTTTTAGGGTCATCTTTCTATAATCTGATTATACTCAGGAATTTTGTGAAAGATTGTAAATGACAGAGAGCAACATCATAAGTTTGAACGTGAAATCAGGACCTGGCTTTGAATCCCATACTTATAATTTACCACAGTGTAACATGGGAAGAATCATTTAATTTCTTCAAAATTACGTTTCCTCATGTAGATTCATATTGCATCCTATAGTGTGTGAAAAAATAATGAGTTAAAGTTTATGAAAGTGAAGATGGCATGCCAAATTTAGTGACTTTGCTTCAGCTATAAAATAGTGAAATCGTAATTCCTGTTCTCTGGTATTGTAAATGAGGATTAAATATGACAGTGCATGTGAGTATGTGCCTATTAGAGAACACTGGAAGCATTACAAAAATGGTAAGTGTTCTCTTACATAAGCAACAGCCAAGGAAACATGTCAAGTATCTATATAAAACCGTCAGGTATTTTGTTCATGAGAGAATGTGTAGATTATGGTTCACGGCCCATTTACTTTTGATATTCCTGTAATTCTAGAACTCAGAGCTTCAAGCTAGATTTGGGGACACAGTGTAGTGGTTATGAGTCCAGTTTTTTATTCTTACTAGCAGTGTAACCTTGGGCAAATTGTTTAATCTCTTTGTTCCTCAGATTTTTAAAATGCAAATAATAAAGTGGTACTCACCTTACAGTTTTTTTGTAAAGATATAAATAGCTTAATAATTTTAAATGTTTAGTAAGCACAATAAGCATAACATAATAAGTGTTCACAGTAAGTAATTTTTTTAAAAAGAAGCTAAGACAAATTTAGCACCCTTATCTTTCAATGGTTACACTGTTATATTTTAAAGAAAAACACTTAATTAAACTCAACAACATACTTGCACTTCTCTTCCTTTTCACCCTATCCAAAATATATGCCCCTAAGGGACCTAAATCTATACTTGATGTTATTCCCACCAAAAATAGGAAAATGGTTACAATAAGCCAGAAGAAGCTGGAACTGATTTCCTTGCTGATGTTCTAATGGGCCACTTTTCTGCAAGCCTATAAAAGCTTCTCTTTCTGTGGTAACCTTGTTTGCCTTCAGTTCTGCCTGCCTTCTCCTTCCCCTGGAGCACTTATTCTTCTGTTAGCCCTTACGGCATTTGCCCTCCTAACCCATCCCAGTCCTGCCTTTTGTTACTCTGCTACCTCCCAGCAACCCATGTTCCAACTCCTTTTGTGTCCCTTTTTCACACTGAAGTTCATGCCAGCATCAGACCAATGTGGCATAAAGTGCATAGGGGTCCCCACCGGCAGGCATCAAGATGGGTTGGGAAGAAGTGGCAGCTAGCAAAGTTACTAAAGCAGGGGTCATGGGCTGCTACTGCATTCACTTTCCCAGAGAGTCAGTGTTACAGGATTGTCTGCTAGTGATTGTGTAATTTAGTTATGTATCGTTAAATAGGAATGTATGTGCTTTACTATTTCCTGTGGGACTAGTGGCTTGGACAGGGGCTTACAGGAAACTCGTTTAGGTTGGGTACCTAACTTTTCTTCATGTGAAGTGCACATGGGATTTGCAGTTTAGCAACCTGAGTTTGGATCACAGCATTACCACTTCTGAACACTGAGGAATTTTTTTCATCCTTTTTCTTTTTCTTTCTTTCTGGTTTGTTTTGTTTTGAGCAGTACTGGGGTTTGAACTCAGGGCCTCTGCCACTTGAGCCACCCTCATCAGCCCTTTTTGCTTTAAGTATTTTTCAAATAGGATCTCATATTTATGCCTGAACCACCTGGGCTATGATCCTCCTGTTTACACTTTTGTGCAGCTGAGCAAGAGGTAGGAGCCACCACACCTAGCTTTATTGACATGGGGTCTCATGAACTTTGCCCAGGCTGGCCTTGAGCTGCAGTCCTCCTGACCTCTGTCTCCCAAGTGGCTAGGATTATAGGTGTGAGCCACCACACCAGGCTCAACTTTGAGATGTTGATTGTTCCTTCTCTTTCTGTGGCTCATTTTTCTCTTTCCACCTATGGACAGACAGAGGTAGAAGTGTGAAGAAATGATGTTGGCATAGAAATTTAAGAAAGCTTCTTTTCCTTTCTGTGTATCATTTATTAACATGCTTCACATTTGATTAAGATGATTTCCCCCTGTGGCGCTTTGAAAACTTCTCTCTCCTTTTGTCATTCTAGACTATTTTCTCCCAGATGTTTTCAGCTGCATTTTTGTGATTATTTCCTAGCCTCTTTTAGACTTTAGGAAATATTTCTATCATAAATGCCAGCATGTTAAAATGACATTTCATGATCTCAAGAAAGTTTAGAACATAGACTAACCGCACTATTTAAGAAAATTGAACAACAAAACTTCAGATGGGTCTAATAGGTCATCAGAGGCCCTTTGAGTAAATGTGCTTTTGACTGAGATGGTTTTAAATAAAATTGACAAGAACCATGGCAGTCTTCTTACATATATCTTTAGTTGTTTATCTTCTGCATACTAAAATCAGTTAATTAATATTTTCATTTGTTCTTTTCCTTCATTTTTCTCAGCTTTTCTATTTTATAATTATACTCTTGTTTTAGTAAACTCAAAACATAACTTTTGAAACACTCTGAAATGTTTATTTTGGAAATGAACCTAAAATTGGAGTTCATAAATTCCAGAAGCCCTTGAGTTTTCTTTGCATTACTGTTTTAACCTCTCTGTACAGCATGTTGAAAAGTTGTGATTTGGGATTACTCAGAAATCATGTTAAGATGTGATCTAGTGATTTAGTAGTATTCAGCTCTTTTGAATTCTTTATTTGGTAGTATGAACTCTGCCAGAGTTTGAACTCTGGGCCTCTTGCTTGCTAAACAGGTGCTCTACCACTTGAGCTATGCCCCCAGCCCTAAGATTGCCACTTTTTTTGTAGATTTGGAAACTGTTATTTTATGACAAAGAGCTAATTATGCATGGAAATTTGAGAATATGACCATAATAGCAAAATCCCCTTACGTACTTTAGTATGTCTGATTTGGAGCCCTCTAGACTTCCTTATCACAGAGGGAACCTTCCCAAGCAAGCCCTTGCTGCCTTCCCAAATAAAATAGAATGGGAAGATGGAATTAAAAAGCAAAGTATAAAGTAAGTGTTAAAGTTTCACTTCACCAAAGAAAGTCTTGTTGAGTATTTACATGGTGTCTGCATTTCATTTAACATCTGTTGTGTTTTTCTATAATTCTAGCAAACTAGCCTTTCATAACCAGGATGTCAGGAAAATTGTCACCACCATTTGCCATTTGTCTGTGTGCAGTGGACTGTTTTTATTTTATATATTTTTTCAAGTCTTTTTATAAAATTTACAGAATGAAATAATGAAAACAACTTGAAATTTTAGTTAAAAATTAGACATAAAAAGCTCAAAACTTTTATTTCATATTCTCCTGGTTTTCCAAGGCACATGATACACGAAATGGGCAATGTTGTTTGAATGCAGCTAATTGCTCATCAGTTGTCATGTATTCCCTGGGACATGTACCCATTTCATAAGTGTTGGTTCCAGGTGTCAAGTACAGCTCTAGTTGGCTCCAACTTGTAGTCAAAACAGTGTTTTAAACTTTACCAGCTTACCATTTTGTTGAGAGTATGGCCATCTTGCAAAAACATTTCTTATTTTTAGATTTATAAACAAGTAAATCAGCCACATAGTTTTATATTTCTGCATCATTTTCCTCCAAGTCACTTCTGTAAGTAACTTGGCCTTGAACATTTTTCCACTTACAAATGGTTCCAAATAATTACTGATACACAAATATCAAGAAAGGAAGGGGACTGGCAAAGAGGCTCAAGTGGTCAGAGTGCCTGCCTAGCAAGCGTAAGGCCATGAATTAAAACCCCAGTGCCTCCAAAAAAAAGAAAAAAATGGAGGGCGGAAGGGAGGATGGATGAATACTATCAACATTTCTCTTAAAATACAAAGTGGTTCAGGTTCTTGCTGGAAAATACTGTGTGACTCTTATTAAATGACTAACTAAATGAAAATACTTTGTTTTCTTTTTGCTCTTGGAAACATTCTTTTCTCACTGATTCTTGCATTAGAGAAAATTCATCTAGAATTATTTTCATTGTCCAAAGATGTATGGTCTGATAATGTTGCCTATTTTCATCAGTTTTATCATTGTTATAGTCTACAGTGCTGCTGTCTATGTCTGTATTCATCTTATAATTGAGAAAATCTTTCCATCTGTTTTCTTCTCTTTGCTTTCATGACATTAAATCAGAAATTTCTGAATTTTCAGCTGTGCTCTTTGATAGCTTAACAACCCACACTAAGATAGTATCTCCAGATGTCTTTTGTATCTTCTTGGAAAGCTGATGCAATATTTCGGACATTGCTAAATGAAAATTGAAGGATGATAAAATGATGATTTATATCACTATTGCATCATCCTTCTAGGTCTTGCTTTTCACTGCAGTAGCTGCTAGCCATGTGTGGCTATTGAGAATTTGAAATGTGACTAGTCTCATACTTAAGACTTAGTACCCCAAAAAATTGTGTGTATGCATATATCTATATATGTATATGTAAATATGAAATATTGTATTGATTTTTATATGTTGAAATGGTACAATTTTGGCTATACCAGGTTAAATATAAAATATTTCATTAAAACTAATTTTACCTCTACTTGTTAGCTTTATTTTGTTCAACTAGAAAATTTAATAATATGTGTGACTTGATTTGTGATTTGTGATTTTTTTTGATAATGATGATGTTCTAAATAGTTCTGCTATTCTTTGATTTTTTATTGATCTTTTTCAGCATTGTTAGAAATAATTGAGTAAAGATGAAATAGTAGAATTTTGACCTATAGGAAAATCACTTAAAATCCCATAATGTATCATAGATTCATAAAAAAATTCAAAGGACCCATGTGGCAATTATAAAATAGAAGGAGTTCAATCTGTTTTTTAAGTGAAGTTTCTTTTGTTGTTTGGAATAAATCTAAAAATAAAAGTGAAGAAATATCAATCCTCACAAATACAGTTTCCCATAAAAACTACAATTGAGCCAGTAAACACTGATGCTATGTTAAGAATTAAGTATTTTCTTGAAAATGTCTCCATTTTGGCTTTGTTATTTACTAGAATTAGCTTGGATAGTTACTTCCTATTGATATAAAAAAATTAAGTATTTCACCCTTTAAAATTTTGCTTGTTTCACAGTAAGAGCTTTTCTTGCCATTTTTAGGTATGATTCTAAGTTCCTAAATTCATCTTGGCAACACCATGCTCTTGTGTGTTATCAGCAATACCGATAAAGGGATTGTTATTAAATAATTTATCAGACTTTAGAATACCTGTCACATCTTCGGAACACAAGCTGTGTTGGCCACCATATGGTAATGCTCTTTTAAGTATCAGGTTTGAGAATTAATACTCCATATGTAACCTAACATCTTTCTTTTTCCTTTGTAGACTTTTGTGAATGATGTAAGGATTCCAGAACAGACTTACATCACTTTGAAACTTGAAGATAAGCTGAGATTTGGATATGATATCCTTATATAATTTTGTACATTTATTAAATTTATGCAAAAATATTTGTCCTGGTGTAAATAAACATTTCTTGAGAGAGAAGAATTTAAAATATTAGTTATGCTAGAATTGTGTTTATTGGATGCTTGCCATACTAAAATCCTACTTGTTTAAAAATATATGTATTTTTTCTGTTACTTTAAGTGTCTTAAAAATAATCTTGGAAAAGTTGATACGCAGCTAACTTTTTCCTCTCTCTTTGTATAATTTCATCAGCAGTCTCCCTACAGTACTGTCACGCTGTAATTGTAATTATAATTAACTATCAAAGAATGTAACTGGGGAGAAACTGGAAAAGTGTTTCATTTTTGTCCAGTCTAGGGATTCATTGCAGGTAGATTATGATGGCACAAATCAGCCTCCTAAGAAGAATCTAAGAATTTAAACCTACCTTTCTTTCCATCACTACCATTATTCTGTTTTATGCATTAAAACATCCTTATTACCTGTTCAATTCAAACTTTTCACTATCATGTGTCTTCTAAGACCAATGTTCCCTAATTAAGTACATTATACATTTAGTGTTTATTTTAAATTCTTTTGTTTAAAAATCAGTCTAATAGCTAAACAGGGACGTGATTGTATTACGCTAGAGAGGGTAGCTTAAAGAAGCCTAGTAAGGGGGAAGAATGTGATTGAAGAGACAGAAAAACATTTCTATTTGTACAAGGTAAGAAGCTTTGTAAAAAGGACCTATTCTTACTTAATTAAAATACAGATATTCTCAACTATCCAACTAGAGTAGGTGCTCAGAATGAATGTACTATAAAACTAAATATTAACACTTAAAATTTATGAAAACTAAAATTTAAAATTTTTAAATTTAAACTTAGAGAAGGTTTTATGGCACATTTTATGTTTACGCTTGAAAGACAAATGATTATATAAAATGCTAAACCATTTTAAAATACTTATTGGTTGTATATTTTAAATCTTTAAAAACTGTATATCACATAAACTGGTTAAAAATTAGCTAAAGCCTTGATGAAGGGGTCATTTTCATCCAGCATAATTTTTATCAAAACAAGCACAAGAAGGGCTGGTGGAATAGCTCAAGTAGTAGAGCGCCTGCTTGGCAGAGGCCTTCAGTTCAAACCCCAGTACCACAAGCACAAGAACATTTTGTACTTAAGCACCTTTAATTCATTTGACATCAGCTGTTTCAGAACATGAGAAAATACTGAGAAATTCAGATTTTAATAAAAGTTTACAGTTAACTTGGAATATTAAATCAAGAAGAAACCATTAAGGCCTTGTGTTTGTACGAACCTATAGTCCCAGCACTCGTGAGGCTGAAGATAGAGGCTTACTTGAGCCCAGGAGTTGAAGGCCAGCCTGGGGCAACATAACGAGATCCCTCTCAAAAAAAAAAAGGAAGAAACTGATACATTTACAGATTGTGCAGTAATTTCTTAATAGTGAACTCACATTTTTTTCCTAATATACCAACTCACAATATGTCTGTTTAAAATTGTCTGGGGCAATTGTTTTGTCCCAAACAATTTTGTCAGGAGTTATGCAGTTAGTGTTGAGCCTGGACTGCTATTCACATGCCCAGGTGAGGCTCACACTGTTTTATTATTTTAGTATAATGTCTTGTGTTATTTATGATTCTGAGCATTGTGAAAATGTTAAAACATTTCTTCATTAGCCGTACTAGACTGAAGAAACTGTATTCATATTAATACAGTCTACAAACTTCTGTACCTTGGAGCACACCACCTTCAAGTATTGTAATTAAAAATCCACCTCAAGGCCAGGTGCATGACTCATACTATAATCCCAACTACTGGCGAGGATCATTTTGAGGCCAGTTAAAGCACAAAATTAGTGAGACCCCCATCTCTATCAATAAACCTGTTATCCCAGCGATTCAGAAGGCTATTAGGTGGCTATAGGTAACAGGATTGAATTCAGAGTCTGGCCCAGAGCCAAACAATATAACCTTTCAAAAAATAACTAAAGCAAAAAAAAAAAAAGACTGTGGACATGATGCAAGTGCCTACCAGCAAGTGTGAGGTCCTGAGTTAAACCTTAGTACTGCCAATCAATCGATCAATAAAAATAAATTTTACCTCAATAGGAAGAACATTTTTGCATGGCTTGAACACTAACATTTTATCTGTCATGAGTTTTTTCTAACTAGAGGAATTATTTTGGAAAGCGTGTACTCACTGAAATACCCAAACTTTCACAATGACAAAACTCACGAAGAATACTAATGTACTGCAAGATAAACCTCAGGAAGGTCTGGTCAGTCTTCAAGTGGCCAAAAATGTAGCAGATGGGAGGCCACGCCCACTCTTTTCACTTTTGTTAGCTGTTTCCTGTGTGTCAAGTACAGTTCCAGGGGTGGGGTCATAGTGAATGAATGGATTATAATCACCATCCTCCTGGAGCTTACACTAAATAAGCACACAAAAGCTGAGCAGACTAGAGGGTGATAAGTTGTATGGGAAGAAAGTAAAGGGATGTAGACTGTTCACATTTAGTGTGGGTAACTAGTGTGTTTGGATTTAAATCTGTCACACAACATTTGTGTTCCATTTGTCCCCTTCTTTTTATGTTCTCTATTTTCCCTTTTTTTGGATTATTTAAATTTTTATGATTCAGTTTTATCTCCTTTCTTATTAGCTATAACACCCCTTCTTTTTAAAGTTATTTTTGTGGTAGCTTTAGGACTTAATTATATGTCTTCAATTGACATTATACCATTTCACTTACTGTATAAGAAAATTACAATAACAAGCTTTGTTCTGCCCTAACCTTTGTACTATAGTTATCATACATTTTGTTTCCATAATGTCATAAACCTCGTTCTATATTATGGTTAGTAAAAAGTCAATTGGCTTTTTAAAAAACATTTTTATTCGCACATATTAGTTGTACAGAGGGGATTCATTGTGACATTTCTGTATATGCTTACAATGTGCCTTAATTAGATTTGCCTCCACCATATCTCTCTCTCACTTACAAGAGATTTTCATCATCTATTCCTTATAAGTATATAGAGTATATTGACCATATCCACCTTTTTCTAATAGTCTTCTTACTGGCCTCAAACTTGTCATCTTCCTGACTCATTCTCCCAAGTGCTAGAATTACAGGTATGTGCCACCATGCCTGACTCTCAATTGTTTTTCATAGAGATTTAAATCATTTAAAATGTTATATTTTAAAATCCTTGTACTCTTATAACTGTACTCTTCACGCCTGTGAAGGTGCTGGTTCTGAGCATTTTTCCTTTGGCATCATCCTCTTATCTTCCTGGAGAGCTTCTTTCAACATTTCTTGTAAGCATGGCTCTGCTGGTGATGAGTTCTTTCACCTTTTATATTTCTGGACAAGTATTTCACCTTATTTACCAAAAGTTATTGTTGCTCAGTATAGAATTCTAGGTTGACATTTCTTTTGCTTTAGTACATTTAAGATTTTACCCCACTAATCTAGGGGTAGAAAAGGACATGAAAGTAGTAGAAGAGGAAGGGGGAGGGGCATGATCAAAGCATGTTCTTTGCATGAATGAAAATGTCACAATGAAGCTCATTTCTTTATTCAGGTAATACATGCTAATTAAAAAATAATAACTAAAGAAAAACAGTTTTGCTCCACTGTATTCTCACTTTCATTATTTCCTGTGACACCTGGTTTTAAGCCACTTGACTGTGATGTGCCTTGGTGTAGATTCTTGTGTTTGGAGTTTGTTGGGCTTCTTGGATCATGGGTTGATACTTTAAATCAAATTTAGAAAAAAATTCTTAGTTTTAATACCTGTTTCTGTACTCCACACTTGCCCTCAGGACTCGCATTAAATGTACATTAGACTTCTTGAAGTCATCTCACAGCTCACTGATGCTTTTTTTTTTTTAATCTTTTCCTTCTGTGTTTTGGATTGTTAATACAAGTGTGTCTTTCAGTTCACTAATCTTTTCTTTGGCAACATCTAATCTGCCGTTAACCCATCCACATATATATTTCATCTCACACAATATAGTTTTCATCTTAAGAGGGTCAGTTTGGATTTTGTTTTTCATATCTTCCAAGTTTCCATTTTTTGAACATAAGAAATAAGATTATAATAACTGTTTTTAACATCTTTGTTAACATTTGTATGAAACTCTGGGTTTCACTTTTTTTGCATGCTTGGTAATTTTTTTATTAGACAGCTGACATTGTTAATTTCACCTTGCTAAGTGTTACATGCATATTCTTATATTCCTATAAATATTTTTGAGCTTTGTTCTGGGATTCAAGTTATTTGGAAATAGTTTTATTATCACTTTGGATCTTCTTTTAATATTTGTTAGTCTTCTAAGATTAGTCTGGGCTAATTACTCCTCACTAGTGAGGGAAGACCCTGATAAACCTAGCCCTCAGCCTGTTTTTTTTTTTTTTTTAGAACACTGCTATCTCCACTAATTTACATATTTGTATGACTGCTTTCATTCCACCACAGCAGAACTGAATAGTTGCAGCAGTGGGCCTGATAAATACCTCACAGAAAAAGCCTACTGACCTCTCTTGAGCCAGCAGCTCATGAGTCATGAGGGTTTTGGCCTGGCTATTGGAAGCAGGTACTATTTCTGTCCATGAGCAGGTACTACTAATATTTTCAGGTGATTCTCACCCCAGCCATAGTACTTTTTTCATATGTTGATCAGTACTCACCTGAATTATGTGAGTGAAGTCCTCCAGAGGTGTCTGGAATTCTTTCTGTGCAGCTTTTCTTAAGCTTTATTTCCTCCATAGCTCAGGTAGTCTGCCAGGCTCTGCCTGGATTACTCCTCCTTCCATTATGTTTAGAGCAGTGATTGAACTTACCTTGATTTGTTTCCCTTCTCTCAGGAATCATCTTTTGTAGCCTGGTGCCGGTTGTCTGGAAACCATTTATTTTGCCCATTATTTGATGGTTTCCTGTGGGAGAGTAAATCTGGTTCCTTTTACTTGATTTGGTCCACAAGCAGAAGTAATAGAGGTTGATTTTTCATATTGAATATACCAGTTGAGTCAAAAGGAGAAGTACAAGTTAATGAGAATTTGGGGATTTTCATAGTATAAATAAGGAAAACCTGGAGATTGAGTTCGTCAGGGGAGTTAATAGAGATTGGTAACGAGGTCCAAGGACTGAAACCCAATACACTCAAACATTAAGAAGCAAGTGAGGTGAAGAACCAATTTTAAAAAGACTAAGAAGGAAGCACTGTTTATAGAAATAAAACCAGAGTATGGCATGGCTCATACGGTTCATGGAAATTAAACATTGTCTAAAACTTTGAATCTCAAGATCCCTCCTTACTGTTATTGCTGTCATATGGAAAGAATCCAGTGCCTTTTTAAATATTGGGTTTATATCTTTTCCTAAAGAAAAGATAATGGCTCACAAAGTGATGAGGTTAGTCATACTAGATATGGTAAAAATAAAAAAGCATGCATTACAGCATCTGTACTTGGAACACTACACATAGCACTGCTGCTGGGCAATCTAGATAATAGCTACTAAAATACTCGGTCTGCAACCCTGAGAAGATGGTAGCTTTGGAGGGGACAGTTGGGACTAGAGCATTGTTACCGTCTTATAAGCATACTCTGGTATGAATTCGGGTGAATTCATGGCCTGAACGAGGACTCAAAGAGGACCTCTTGAGAGGTAAAGTACTTGAACCTAAGAAGAATGGTCCCGTCTCAAGTGCTCCCCGACCTGAAGCATGTCAAGGTCTCAGGGTACTCCAGACTAACCCTGGGCAGTAACCTTCACACACTTCCAGGAGGTAAACCTAAGGCACCAAAAAGTGCTCACAATTGGCTAAAATCAATAGAAAACAAAACAGCAATTTTTTATTTTTTTGTGGGACTAGAGTTTGAACTCCAGGCTTCACTTGAGCCACACCTCCAATCCATTTTTCTCTGGTTATTTTGGAGATGGAGTCTTTTGAACTGTTTGCCCAGTTGGCCTTGAACCCTGATCCTCCTGATTTCAGCCTCCCACATAGCTAGGATTATAGGCATGAGCTGCTGGCACCTGGCCACAGCTGTCAGTTTTTAATTATTATTTCAATTTAAAAAGTAGCAATACTATGACTCTTCTTCAGCTGTTAATTTCTTGGAGTTAAAACAATTACCAGATGTTTTTCATTAAATATGCTTGATTATGAGGTGTGTATTTTTATATGTATCATCGACATTTGTGAGCATATGTATATGATACAAAATGAAAATTTTAAAATTTAAAAGCTATGAGAGTAGTATAAAGTGACAGGAAAGCCCTGGGCTGGATTCTGTAGCTAAATTCTTGTTTTGGGTTCTGCCTCTGCAGTCTCCAAATTCTTTATCTGTAAAACCCAAACAAAGATGATTGGAATTGAACATCTCACCATAAAATTCTCCAAAGCTCTTCACGGCTCTAAAAAGTTCTCTTAACAAGTTTCCTGCCTCCAGTATGCTTGAGAAGTCTTTTCCCCCAAGTAGTCCTGGTAATTACAGTTTTCTACACTTAAGGTGATTGATGAATGCTTTGAATTAGTAAGGAATAATAGAATTTATTTGGGGTTAAAAAGGTCCTTCCATTACAGGGTTGAGTAATAGTGTGAAATGTGACCTCTATAGTGAATAGATCTTTTTAATATACAGAAGCATTGTTCTTTTTGGTATAATAATGAAAGCATTCATTACATCTAGCCCTTGGTTCCAATCTGTGTGGAATCAGCTGTTTTGTAATGTACTGTGACCCTGGTTGTGGTTGTTGTAAGACACTAATTACAGCATTTCCTTTTGTACTTGCAAAATGAACTTCATTTTTATCCAAGCTCCTGAAAGTGACCAATGAGATCCTCCAGGAATCTCTGTTGGGTAATCCCTTATGATAGAGATTTCTTTTGCATTTTTGTGACTAGCTATCAATGTAATTTGATCCAGGTGCTTTCTCTTCATTGTAGTAATGTCATACTGTTTGTGAAAATTAAGTGCCTGTGCTCCAATTACCCACCTTGATTGCTTTTTCTGGGAATTTTTTTGGGGGTAGGACAGTATTAAGTTTGAACTCAGGACCTTGTGCTTGAGCCATGCCCCCAGCCCTCTTTTCTTTAGTTTTATTTTTCAGGTAAAGTCTTGCTTTTGTCCATGGGCCCTAACCATGGCCAGCCTGGACCATGACACTCAGGCCTCTGCCTTCCACATATCTGAGATTATAGATGGACCACCACACTTAGGTTTTTGAGATAGGGTCTCGCTAACTTGCCCAGCCTGGCCTCAAACCCCAAACCTCTTATTTACCTCACCAGAGCCTGGGATTACAGGTATATGCCACTGCACCTGGCTCCTTATTTGCTTCTTAAAGGCCAGTATTACCTAAGGTTAGAAATACTTGCTGGGTTTTAAGATTTTTAAGGATTTAAAAATGAAAATTTTTGTATTTGTAAGTATGTCTTAACATTTAAAGGGAATATAATAATTCTCAAATTACTCCTTAAATTAGGAAATTTTCTGAGTTACATTTGGTGGCCCTGTTAAGCCAAAATACTATAGTTTATATTCTTCCTTAGCCCTGTTTACATACAAATCTTTTCACTGTAGTACGGGGAGAAATGAGGGTCCCTGAAGAGGCTCTGAAGGTAAAAGCTGATCCTTGTGAATCTGTTGTTCACTGCACTTGGTTTCATTCAAAGATGTTTCACTTTCATTTTTAAATGTTTTTTAGCATGAGAAGTTTACCATCCAGCTTCAGTTGTCTCAAAAATCTTCAGAATCAGAATTATCAAAATCTGCAAGTGCCAAAAGCATGGACTCAAAGACTGTAGATGCTGCTGCGGAAGTGCAGCAGAAAGCTGCAGAGGCCCTGAGAGCCGAGGAGAAGGCCCCGGGTAAGCCAGCTCCCGAGACATGCCGAGGAGTTCCCTCCTCTGTTATCAGAAAACGTTTGTAATAACTGTTCCAGAGTGCCTTGTAATGCAGCCAGTGTTTTTATTAAAAACAGTATAGAACACATCATTTCATGTGGCAGTTGTTTGTAGGTGCACTTAATATGTTTAAATATTTAGGGAAATAAATGCTGGTTAAAAATTGAAGGAAATAATGTTTATAATTTCAGTTTAAATTGCAATAATTTTTTCTATTTCGTGTTTTCATTTTTCTGAATTTTAATCACTGAAATAAAAGGAAAAAATTTAAATCCAATAATGCTACATCATGTCATCAAAGACCCACTTAAAGTTCTAGGAACTATAACAATGCTTTGCATAAATAATCCCAAACAGAAACAGTTTCTGAAGTTGACAGACAGTGCCACCCCTGCTAAATTAAAATGTACCCTGTAACAATTAGCTTAAATTATTTACTGTGCAGTGCCCTTAGGCTTTACAAAAATTTGAAAATGGCTACTCATGCCAAAATTTACTTTCACTTCAGTTAGGCATCAGTGGCTCACGCCTATAATCCTAGCTACTCAGGAGGCAGGCAGAGATCAGGAGGATCATGGTTTGAGGCCAGCCAAGAGAAATATTTCAAGAGACCCCTAACTCAAAACTACCCAACACAAAACAGGGCTGGTGGAGTGGCTTAAGTGTTAGAGAGTCTGCTAAGCAAGCATGAGACCCTGAGTTCAAACCTCAGTACTGGGTTTGAACTTTAGTTTTGTCTTTTATATTTAGACCTATGATATTTCTGATCAGACTGGTTTCATTCTTCCCTGAGTACTGCCTAGCTTTTCCAAACTTGTTCCACTGGAGACACTTCCTGTCTGAATATTCACAGCAAAGTCCATTAATTATAAGTGGCTCAGTTACATACCAAAGAACTTTTACTACTTTAAGTAACAAAAACCTGTTGGGATATTATCATTTATTTATTCAGTATAGAGTATTTTTAATAATTGGGGAATTCCAGCATTCTGAAAAAGTGTATTTTGCTGTTGCTTCATCTTTAGACAGATTTGCCCCATCTCTTTCTAGATGTTTCTGCTATGCCCCGTGGTACTCCATTATATGGGCAGCCGTCCTGGTGGGGCGAAGATGAAGTGGACGAAAAAAGAGCTTTCAAGTCAAGTGGCAAGCTTGAAGAAAAGAGTCATGATCCTGGAGCATCAGGTAAAATGCCTCAGTGACCAGGATGCTACATGATATTGTAGGAAGCATTCATTTTCTAAACAAAGCTGTTTACTCTGAAGAGGGGTGATCTGCTCCCCCAACTTGATTTTAAGTCGAGTGTTTAGTAGCATTGTTACTTTAATGTAAACTTATTTCTTACAAATCTCGCATAGTATTAATCTCAATATCTGTATACTTTTGTTTAAACTATTTTCCAGTATATGAAATTGTTAAAACTTACAGATTAATGGTATAACTGGACATTTTCAAGTCTTTTAAATTAATTATTAAAATGAATTTGACAAAAATAGTAAGTACCAAAGAATTTTATGTTTTCATGAGATTCTCAAGCACATACTCATTTTCAAATAAGTAATTTGTACTGTCAGACATGTGATGTGAAAAGTAACTTGTGTAAACACCTCACTGTGCTCAGTTTGTTGGGATATGATAGCAACATGATTACTGAGTTTGGCAGCCTGAGTGAAGTAGAAGCGCTAGGTCAGATTCTCAGATTAATGATCAAGGAACATGTTCTTTTGTTGGTAGAGTAGTTAAGTGGTGAACTAAATACCCATAAACCAGAAGAATCAAGATTTCCAGGAAATAAATGGAGGGATCAATTCTCTGTGACAATTGAATGACAATTGATAAGGATGTTGAAAAGAACAGAAGAAGAGATCAGTCAGTTTCCATGATAACAGCAGATAAGGATCCAGAGCAGAGGAATTAAGTTTAGACGCCAGGGATAAGTATGGAAGACTTAGTCTGTTCCATCAGCACTCTTTCCAGTTTTCTACCTGTGACTTTAGCAACACAAGATAAATAAGACAGTTTTTTTAACTGGAGAATAAGAATAGTCCTTTAGAGAAGGTCTAGTTAAACCAGGGTACACATCAGAAAGCTGGTATCAGCTCCTTACAATGCCCCAAACTGAATTTGCCAACTTTGCTTCCTTGTTTCTTTCACCAACAGTTTTCTTCATGTCCAAGCATCAAGTATTACTGCCTAGTATTATTTAGTATGCCTTCAGATGTGAATAACGGAACTGACACCTTACATCATGCAGGACACATAACTGAGTCCTCTTGGGCTGTTCAGCATGGCAGCTCCACAGTGGTGTTAGCTAGCTAGTCTCTCCTCTCTGTCTTGCAGTGCACAGTGGATGCACACTGAGCATTTCCCCTCACCCCCAGAGGTTGCTTGCCAGCAGCACTGAAGGATACACACTCCTTTAATCACATCCAGCAAAAAAGACCAGGTTGCTTCCAGAAGTCCTTCCAGAATTTGGAAGAACTTTCCCTAAGGTTTTTAGCACATCTCTCTTCTCATTAGTCTGCTAGAAGTTCAGGAGTGGCAAAACATAGGCGATCATTTTTACACCACTCTTGCTCACCTAGAATCCAAGGGTGGTGTTCATTTTCCCTGAACTGTGTAGGGGAAGAGTGGATATCAGGTTATACTGGAGTCCTTTTAGGAAGGAGGAACAGGAAAGGATATTGAAAGGCAGTGAAGAATGCCTCCTTCATTTGAAAAAGTGTTTTGTCTTCCCTTCATGTTATCTAGTTTATTACCTACTTCAGTTGCCTTGTCTTTTTCCCTGCTGAGTCATAATTTGTACTATCTGTCTTAAGTTTCAATCCTTTTGCAGTTTATTTTGCATAATAAATATAAACTGGTTTTTATTTCATTTTTTCAAGAAACTGCAATAACTTCCTTTTGTCTGCCAAATAAATAGATTTTAAACTTTTTAAGCCCTACTGGGTCTTACATCCCGTTATCAATTGTTTGGTGTTCTTTCCCAATATACCCCCACATAAATCATGCTAATTCCTGTCTGTTCTTCTCCCACATGGATATTTACACACAGGCATTAGATGATACAAATTCTAAGTGATGTGTCTGTAAAGTATACTACTGCTTCACAGCTGTACTGATTTTGTGTGTGCCTTCTCCCCACAGCTAAACTCTAGATTCCTTACTTCAAGTGCCACTGTGCAGTAGACCCACCTGGTACAGAGAGGGGAAAAAATTAACAAATTAGATGGGTTAGAAAACAGATGAATTTAAGTGTTCTCAAATTCTGAACATAATTGGAATAATGATTGTTATGTAGCCATTAAAGATGTAGCTGTTCCCCCCTCACACACAAAACAACTTAAAGAACAATTTAAAAAATTAAACACCTACCCTCTATAGTAATGTGTTTGTGTAACTATGATGGAGACAACAGCTGTGACTTAGCTAACACTTTGATGGTGCTTATACCATCTTTTCAGTGGCTTATGTGCATTTAATCCTCACAGCAACACCTAAAGGTAGTAGTTACTGTTATTTTTTACATTTTATAGAGAAAAGAACTGAGGCACGGTAATGTTAATTTGCTTATCAAAGTCACTGACTTGAACTTAAGTACCCTGACTTCAGAGTCTATACTCTTAACCACAAGCAGTTAAAATTTCAGTGATGTGTTACTCTTGCATATACACACACACACACACACACACAATTACTCCAAAAAATATACTTCGTAGGGTGCAAAGATCTAAGGAAACTCTCCAAAAACAGGCATTGAAAACTGCTCCTCATACCTCAAACTGGGAAGTAGCCAGCCCTAATTTCATCTGTGTTATTGAGACTAAATTTTAAGTCATTATCAGCTTGTTGCCCTGTCTCATTGTCATTTCCACCAGGTGACTAAAAACTGTCTCATAATCTTGGGACAGTGTGAGTAATAAGGAATGAGTGGTTTAAGTCTTGAGTTTAATTGCTTTTAAGTGCTCTGTCAGGTTCAGTTGATTAATAGGTGATGAAATCTTACTTTGTCAAATTAGTGTGAAGATGTTATTGGTCCACATTTATCATTGCAGTTGTTTAAAATATAGGATGGAGGAAAAAGTTTACTGACCTGAAATAATTCTCTGAATCCAGCAGATGTTATAGAATCCAATTTGAAATGTTTACCCTTGGTCATTTTTAAATCAAAGTATATTTTAAGAATTTAAATATTGCTAAATGTTTTACATTATAGAAATAAATGATTAGCTTAATAATTTATACTCCAAGCATACTCTTCAGTGAAAACCAAAAGCATTTTGCAGGCCAGATCCATAGCTCAGTGTTAGTGTGCTTGCCTTACATGTATGAGACCCTGGGTTTGATCCCCAACACCAACATCATCTAAAAAAAAAAGAAGAAAAATATTTGCTTTTACAATTTAAAATTTAGTACTTACTATGGAAGATGAACATTCTAGAAAGGATAATAGAGTTTGCTACCTATTTATTCTTATGTCCCCCTCTTTGGGGTCTACATGTATCCAGAATGTCCTGGCAATTTATCACATAGCCTAGGGGGAAAAAAGCAAATATTTACATTTGAGCTATCTATCCCAAAAATTGTGTGAACATTTCGAGTTCTCAGTTTACCCACGGCTTTGTCCTTGTACCTACTAACTTGGTCTCAGCATTAATTTAGGTTGCAGTTAAGAGACTTTAAATGTCACATACATTTTGAAAAGGAACATAACTAAATGGTAGATTCATGGCTCTTTCACATTGATTTTTAAGCCAATGATACTAAGTTTGTAAGCTTCTAAAGTTGTAGCTCCATTTTAGCAAAAGGAGTTTCATGGTTTCCATACTTTGAAGTACTTCAGTAGGCTAGGTTAGTTAAATGTCTTAAGTAGAATGACATTAGTCTTTATCATCTTGGATTGGACAGAATAATGAAGTGAACATTTACTCTGGATTATGTTTAATTTTTTCTTTATGACTCAGGATCATAATTATGGAATATCAGTTATTGGTATTACAATGATGTCCTCCAGAGCCTTTGAAATGTATACGCTGCCCTATATGCTAAATTATACTGGAGCACTATGCTTTTGAGGCTCCTTTTCTACTCTTGATTAGTTTTTTCTTACCACTATCACTTGCTCTGATAATATAGTTTCTCCAGTATTTATTCTTCCATTTTTAGTGATAAGCAAAACTCAGTAGATTTTGAAAAGGATAATTTTTATATTGAAATTTTTCTTACTGGGCACAAGTCACTAATGCCCGTAATCCTAGGCAGAGATCAGGAGGATCATAGTTCTAAGTCAGCCCAGGCAAATAGTTCACAAGATCCTGTCTCAAAAATGCTCAACACAAAAAAGGCTGGCAGACTGGCTTGAGTGATAGACCTCCTGCCTAGGAAGCATGAGGCCCTGAGTCCAAACCCCAGTATTGTGAAAAAAAAAGAAAGAAAGAAAATTTTCTTAAACATTCTCTTTGCGTTCTATTTAGGCTTTTTGACGACTTATGAGGATGATGATTAGTGTTGCTATTATTTGTAAAATGTAGCTTGATGCCTTCTATGCCGTATCTCATGTTTGATCACAAAGATGTTCCATTCTTCTGTAACCTAAACGCAGACAATTTTATGATTATTTCATATTCAGAGTACTGTTAAGTTCACTATAGCACCTAATGAATGCACCAAGATTTAATGTTTGAAGGTGTTTCAGAATACTAAATAATTCATTCAATGAGAAAATGATTAGAAACAACCTAGTTTCCCTGTATTGCCTTTTCTTCCTAATAAATTATCTGTGATTTTTCTATCAATCTATTTAAAAGGATAGTGGATTTTTTAACCTTAGGGAAAAATATTTAATTTGAACCCATTTTCAATAATAAACTGTCTTGACGATAGATACAGTTGTTTTGCTTTCTTAACAGGGCAGTTTAATCTTAAACTTTTTTCTTGTGCATTTGCGCTGTTCAATAACACATACTTAAAATAAAGCATTTCAGTTGTCATTTTCATTTATACCCCATTATGTATTTCATTTATAAAAAGCATCTGTTTTTATGCCTTTATATTAGTATCTGAGGCAACAGAAGAATAGTTAGAATGTTCCATAGTTGCTTGATCCTTTCACCCATTGTTACCAATCTGAAGTGTACAGTTAAGCTTTCCTCCAAGTATTTTTGATCCTGATGCACATTCTGCTGTATGGAAATGTAAGCTAACTTTCTTCCAGAGTTGTTGGCTGCCAACTGAATTTTCCATTTTTACATTATTTCTTTCATATTACTGCTTGGATTGCCATGCTGCAAGCAAAACATGTTTTATCTCTAACCTTGCTTAACCTTTATCAGACGTGTCTGTCTTCTTCCAAGGAAGAAGTAATACTAGTTTTTTCATCCTCAAAGTAATGTCTCTGAATATAATGATAAAGAATGGTAAGTGGAGTCATTACTTCGAAAGCATCGCTTACACATTTACTTCATGTTTGCATCCTCATTTGAGTACTTACTCTCCACTGGAGCTCTACATTTGTTCATAGATATTTCAAGTATTTCATCCTGCTGACTTGATAGAAAATTCATTCTTTTTCTATCACTACAGATATGTGTGTATATATATTGAGCCTGCATTTCCATCTTCATTTGATTTCAATTCTTTTGTGCCTTGATGATTTCCAAGTTGGAAAAATTATGGCCCTGTCCATGCAAGGTCCATCTCTTGACTGCTTTGCTATCTTTGGCCGCTGCTGCTACTATCTTGCATTGCCTGTTGGTAATTGAGTGGCATGCTCAGAATCAAGACTCTTCTCTGTGGCTTTCTTTCTATGATATAAATGCCATTGTCCTTCATCCAGACTAGGGTCTTCCTGCTGATTCTCACAGAGTAATGCAAATGGTCATTACCAATGTCCTTCAAATGCTAGAAGCTTCCAAATATTTTGAATTCTCTCTTATTTTTCTCATTAGGGTGCAGCATAGATGCCAAGCAAGTTGAGGAACAGTCTGCAGCTGCAAATGAAGAAGTACTTTTTCCTTTCTGTAGGGAACCAAGTTATTTTGAAATCCCTACAAAAGAATTCCAGCAACCATCACAAATAACAGAGAGCACTATTCATGAAATCCCAACAAAAGACACTCCAAGTTCCCATACAACAGGTGCAGGGCATGCTTCATTTACTATTGAATTTGATGACAGTACCCCAGGAAAGGTAACTATTAGAGACCATGTGACAAAATTTACTTCTGATCAGCGCCACAAGTCAAAGAAGTCTTCTCCTGGAACTCAAGACTTGCCGGGAATTCAAACAGGAATGATGGCACCAGAAAACAAAGTAGCTGACTGGCTAGCACAAAACAACCCTCCTCAGATGGTATGGGAAAGAACAGAAGAGGATTCTAAAAGTATTAAAAGTGATGTTCCAGTGTACTTGAAAAGGTTGAAAGGTAAAGTGAATTGATCATTTCAGAACTTCCTATTCTCTAATAAAGAAAATTTGGTCTTCACAGTTACCTAACTATTAGTAGATAATTATATGGTAGAGAACATCTGCTTTTTCAAAGTTTACATTTCATTTTAAAGCTCAGAAACAATCCACACTATCCATGTCCAACTTACTCATTCAAAATAGTCTTTCTTCATTTTCTTGCCAAAACCAAACTGGTTTTGTGAATTTTTATTTGTCATTAAATATCCTTTTCCTATAGAAATATGTTTATTTAGCTCACCAGTGGAATTCCCTAGAACATGATTTCCATCATTTTCTTGATTTAAGGAAAAGATACATATAGTTCTACTCTCTATGTGATGCTTCCAGTAAAATATCTAGATTTTTGAAATTACCATTAGGTAATGGGCCACAAGTTCCACTTTTGATAGAATGCTTCAAACTGTTTACAGTAGTCATACATAAAACAAATACTTTCAGTTTTTAAACACTTACTAGGTATCTCTCTATTAATCTAAATTTAAATGTTCTTAATAGTAAGACTTTATGAGAATCATAGTTTAATATTCATTTGTAAAATAGATATTATATGTGTATGCTTTATTTAGTATAGCACTTGACCAAAACTATACCTACGCATCGCCGGCATCAAACTGCTCAGGTGTTTTCCCATTGTTTTTGCCAATTAAATTCATTTTAGAATTATTTGAACACAGACTTGTGTTCTGTCACATTTATTTAATAAACTATAAGGGAATGATTTTGAACAAATTATGACTGTATGTTAATCTGACCAGTCTTTGACTTTATTAGGAGTTAATGAACTTTCTTTTAAAAGTGGTCTTTGAGGTCAGAGACCATACTTATTTTGTGTCTTAACACTTCATCTAGGACTTGAGCATGTAAGAGGTATTGAGTAATATTGAATGAACAATGAGTGACTTGTCTGTCAATGACATACCTTATGTCCTGGGATTATGATAAAGTAATGAGGAAATGGTGATGTTATACTTGGTTCTGACATGCTTCTAAGACATTTAAAGATAGAGAGATAAAGTGATTACCTAATTCCTTGTTGGCACCTATTACCATATTTAATTATAGACATCATCTGGCATATGTACTTTTGAGATGTGCTTATGATCTTTTTACTTCCACTAAACAATATTAATGCCTAATTAAAACCTATATGTGTAGGTATAGTTAAAGCTCACAAATAAAAGCTATATATTTACCATTTATCTGAATTGGATAAATAATACTGATATCCTAGTATGATGTAAGAGGTAGCATGAACCTTGAAAATTTAGAAAGTCCATACTTACTAAATATACAAAAAATGAACTGAAAGTCATTTAGGAAGATAATCACTTTAAAAACTATTTGTTAGGTCCATCTGTAACTTTTTTAGTCATTATAACTGCTTTCTGTATTAGCTGTATTGTTAAGCAATACAGCTTAACAATTTTGTGGCAATTTCTGCTCTTGAACAAGACCCATTTGTGAGCCTGATTACAAAGAGTCATTAATGCCCACATGCACCCTCTTCCTCTACATTAGATACTTACATACAAAATAATTCCCCGCAGTTTAAGATATCAGAAGGATATACTCAGACTCTAAATAAATGTAATTAGGTAAGTTAGTAACAATTTTACAAAAATTAAACTTTCAGCAGCTGTTTTAAATCAAATGATTAAAAGTAGGCAAAACAAAACCAAAAGCCTCTTGCTCCTACAAGAGTGAAGTGCACGTGCTTTGGGACAGTGAGGAAAATAATGTTCACAAAGCCCATACACTTTCACCCTTTAGGAGAGTTGCACAGCTACTGACTCAGTACAGCTGACCTAGCCTAGGAAGTGTTCAAAGAACTCTATTGTACGCAAGTGTGCTTAATGATACCCAGAAGGGAAAAAGAGGAATCCTGGTAAGGAGAGTTTCTTAGTAGTCTTTTTGTTGAGTAGAATAGAACATTGCAGCTCTGATTAGATGTATCACTTTATATAACACCAAGAAATGCTGGAAGGAATAATAATTTTCCAAAAAAACAAAATGACTAATCTGTATGAGAAGTTTTAAACTATAATTTAAAGGAAAGATACTTGAAAGCGCCTGACATCTCCAAGTACCAAAATCTTACATGTTGGAATCAGAATTAAATTCTATACAGATGGCATTTTCACTAAAATATTTGAGTGGAAGTTTGTTAGGAGTTATTTTGGTCTTATTTATTAGAAAATAATGGAATTTTGTTATTTCCAGCTGTTACAAACTGGATTCATTCAACGTAGTCAATACAACAATGAAATAGGATGCAAATTATGATGTGTTTAATGAATTTTGTATTTGAAGTAGAGTTACATTTGTGGTTTGTTTTCCATCTGCAGTTCATGATTCCTAGATTGATCTCTGGGCAAGAATTTCATTAATTCAGCATATTTTTTCTTTGCACATTGCATTTTGAAAATGATTTGGAGAGTTTCAGATTTTTATAGTATTAGTCACGATCACTTTGATAGGAAGACTCTCTCCCCCATTATTTTGATCTTATTCACTCCATTTTCTGTTGCCTGTTACTTTTCTAAAACAGCACAACTACCTTCCTGATGTGAATCTTCTCAGCCCTTTCATGTACCACACATTTATAGGTAATTCTACCAGCAAACTTACAAGGAATGAATCTAGGAACATTAAAACGCAACTTTTTCTCTAGACATATGATATGTCTTTTGCTCCTTCTATCCGCAAACCTTTCATTTCTGCTCATTATCTTGTTGGGTACCACATTCAGTAGGTGTTCATATTAAAGTTTGTCACCCAGAGAAGTTTAAAAATAAAATTTAGCTCTGGAAGTGTTGTAATGTACAGTGTATTAGGATGATTTATAGTTTTCAAAAACTTATCATTCAAGTCCTGATTTTGTGATTCCATGTAAAATGTGTAACTTGTGGCTTTTCAATAATTTCATGCTATAACCATACAGTAATTATCATTTGATTAGTCTAATATACTAAGTAGAAAAAATTTTAAATTAGCAAAAAAGCAAGTAATGAAGTAGTGTCATGTCTAGTCCCTCACAGAACTACTTAGTGATTTTTAACTACTTAGTGGTTTTTACTTGCTGTGGTATAGAAAAACCTTTGTTAAGAAACTGAAGTTTCAAAATATAAATATATCCTAACTTGACTGTACATGTTTTATGGAGAAGACATCCGGTTATATCTAGCACCATGTTGTTTGCCCGGTAGGTGCTTAGATGTTAGGATTTCCTAAGTTACTCTTTCCCTTGATAGACCTGGTACCATCCTTCAACTCTTTGAAATCGCTAGAGTACAAATGCAGTTTTCAAAAATGCTCATACCTAGGAAAGATGGTGCTATTGCCAGTGGAAACTACAAATTTGAATCTTTTTATTAAAGCAAAGGCATGCTGGACTTTTGAAAGTCTTAAACATTACCACTAAATTAAGATGTATCACATTTTTATGGCATTCGTGTTCTCTTTTCTATGTAATGATAAGTATCTCAGTAGTGTCACCCTTTTTCTTGCCTTGCTTCCTCTCTCATGCTAGAATCAAATTTTTTGATCGTTAAAAAGATTTAAGATTTGAAGAAGTCATGCTTAATAATGTTATGGATATAAACTATGGCAGATGATAGAACATTGCTTATCTGTTAGGGCATTGTCAAATCTTTATAAAGTCAAGATTTGGAGAAAGAAAAGTAATCCTATTCAGTTGGTTATAGAGGACCTCATTGTTCGTTGATAAAATTTAAATGTAGCCACTGCAATCAAGGGAAGTTTGCAGAGCCTGTTACTGAAAAGAACATACGACTTTGGATTGAAAAGGGGGAGGTGGTCAGAACAAACAGCACTTCTGTATATGCTTCAGATTTTCTACATGGAATTTTTTTGTTCTCTATTATGTCATTTCTTTTTCATATCTAGGAAATAAACATGATGATGGCACACAGAGCGATTCAGAGAATGCTGGGGCGCACAGGCGCTGTAGCAAACGTGCAACTCTTGAGGAGCACTTACGGCGCCACCACTCAGAACAGAAAAAGCTGCAGAAGGCCCAGGCTACTGACAAGCATCCAGACCAAGCTGTTGTAAGTCGAACTGCTTTTATGATTGCATCCTTTGATGAAGATAATCCCAAAAAAGGAAGGTCATATTCCTTTACTCAAAGTATAGGAATCTTATGTCAGGAAAGTACTTATTCAGCACCACATAAACTTAAAAAAGCAAAACCAACAGCAGATGCCAAAGTGGTTTCTTTGTTTTTACAGACTAGCTCTGCACGTCACAGAGCGGGGCATGGTGGTCCACATGGGAAATTGCTACAGCAGAAATCAGAGGAGCCATCGGTGTCAGCAGCCTCCCTACAGACTGCACTGCTGAGAAGTTCAGGGGGCCTTGGGCTCAGAGCAGGCCAGGAGACGGGTGAGGTGCTGACGAATCAGGCTGCTTCTGCTCCTTTAGCAAAGGACAATGACGACGACCAAAGCGACAAGGGCACTTACACCATCGAGCTAGAAGATCCCAACAGTGATGAGGTGGAGGCCAGGAGAATGATTGACAAGGTAAAGGATCAAAATCTGACTGTGACATTAGCTGTTGTGTGGCATATTGACTGTTGGAAATTGAAAGTCGACACTAAATGTTCTCATGCAGTCCATGGTATTAGAACTTTAGGGAGCTGAAAGACTAACAAGACCAAATGCTTCCTGCTTTCATTTCGCTGATACTCTATGTTTGCCTGAGTTTCATATGCAAGGTCCTATACATTTAAACTGTTTGGACCTTTTAAACTTGTGTGTATTTGAGGTATGCTTTAAAAATAACATACTTTGAACATTCTCATTTTGCACTTATATCAAAACTAAACAGAAGTAATTAAAACTTAACTCAGATATGAATGCTAGCCACATGTTTCCTGCATGCTGATTTCCTGTTAGAAGCAGATAAAAATGCTTATGCTTTAATGAACTTTGTCCTTTTTTACTGTTTCTATTCACTTCAGTCTTTGGTAATAGAAAAGCAGTGTCTGAGGACGAAATCAGTTTTTTCACATTATAATCTTTGTAGCCAGGTTTATACCCAGTCATAACGATTATCTACATTTCAGATATGTCTTTGATGCTATTTGTTAAGTTATATAATGATCAATGTATAGTTCAAAAGTAGTTTTCTCAATTCTGAAAGTGATAATGGAAAGTTGACTTTAGAATCAGCTGTTTATTTTACCTCCTGTAAATTGCAACCTAAGTGCAGGGACACTTTAATCTTGTTTAAATTCTTGTTACTCAAAATGTAGTTCTTGAGTAAACAATATTACCACCACTTAGGAGGACCACTTCAAACATGCTGCATCCGAATCTGAATTAAAGACAAAATGGCCAGGTGATTCACAGGCACATTAACACTTGAGATGTACAAACTTAGCTGATGAGTTTCCAGAATGATATTGCCCAAGATGGGGACAAGATGTCTCACCATCTGGGATGCAGCAATGATATTAGGACTTGTTAAAAGAGAAATACAGGATTTTTAAAATATCAGATATTTTGTTCATAACAGTTGATGCTTTTCGATTAAAAAATTCTTTTAGTCAGCAGTTAGGTGTGGCTTAAGAGGTAAAGCAACTTACCTAGCAGTTATATATATTACAGTGTTTAAGAACCTAGACACTTGCAGGCACATAGATCTTCGATTAAGTATAAACTCTGCATGTACTAGTGTGTGCCCTTAGGTTTCACTTATCTCTAAAATGGAGGACATTTTATTAAAAGAAGATTTTTTAAAAGACTTTTAAAACATAAAAAAGGCTTATCATAATGTCTATCTTGTCAGACCCCTATAAAGACTAAACTGTTTAGTGTTCATGTTAATAGTTTCCACTTATTAGCCTCTCCACAAAGTACTGGCAAATGCTGGAAGGTTCTTTTAGCACTGAAAGTGTCAAATGTGAAGCCAAAGTGGATTACACCATAAGGGACCAACCTAGCCAGAACAGAAGACAGCCAAGAAAGAAGTCATCGTTGCAGATGAGGCTCTTTTAGGAAACTACTGGACAGAGAGGGGACCCCAAAACCTGGCTTGTGCCTATTGTCTATAATTACATAACCATCCTTTTTCATTTTCAGATAGCCCCAGTGTTAATAGCAAGTTATTTAGTCACACTATGGACAGAGAAACACAAGATTTTAGAACACTTAAAGTAGTAATGGCAATGTGAGATTGAATGGTTAATGCACCCGTTCTTAGTATATATAAATCAGAAAACAAAGCTGAAACAATACTACAGAGAAAACAAGGGTCACTGTTTTCTTGTGTCTACCAAAGTAAAAGAGCTGAAATTCCCATAGCTGTGGTTAAAGTTGGAAGCCAAATTCAGGCTAATTGATGTTAGGCTGTAGGGAAACAAAAGCAGGGAACCAGGAATCAGATGTCTGAAGAAGATGAAGTAACCTGTGGGCTACTACAAGAATAGCCAGATTGAAAGAATGAGCTGCACTTTGGGAGGTTAAGAGTAGATTCAGGCATCATCAAATTGGTTGGATGGACTCTGTCATCTGTTTTCTTCCTTTTGAGATAGAAATTGGGGCAGCTGTTGTCCATCTGAATTTAAATTTTTTTCATCCTAAAAACGTTCATGTTGTCTCTCCTTTTTTACTCCATCTTTTGAGAACTGGTTTATGTGATTGATAATATGCCAGGTTTTGTGTACAGAGAAGACAATTCAAAAATAATTGAGTTTTCCCCCTGAGAAATGTGTGACTAGTGGGATAGAGATTTAAAATAATTATGTTGAATGCTTTGAACAGGTATCAGGTGTTGGAGGAATGGTACTAATGGGTTCCAAGAAATCTCACAATCATTGTCAGACAAATCTTTAGCTAACCATTGTAAAGAAACTCCCAATTCACTGCCGTCAGCTTGTTCACTTTAACCATATGCTTTATCACTTTATTTATTTTTTTTCTTTTATTATTCATATAATAATAAATAAATAAGGCTTGGGTCATTTCTCCCCCCTGCCCCCACCCCCTCCCTTACCACCCACTCCGCCCCCTCCCTCTTCTCCCCCCAACCTCCAACCTCCTCAATACCCAGCAGAAACTATTTTGCCCTTATTTCTAATTTTGTTGTAGAGAGAGTATAAGCATTAATAGGAAGGAACAAGGGTTTTTGCTGGTTGAGATAAGGATAGCTATACAGGGCGTTGACTCACATTGATTTCCTGTGCATGTGTATTACCTTCTAGGTTAATTCTTTTTGATCTAACCTTTTCTCTAGTTCCTGGTCCCCTTTTCCTATTGGCCTCAGTTGCTTTTAAGGTATCTGCTTTAGTTTCTCTGCATTAAGGGCAACAAATGCTAGCTAATTTTTTAGGTGTCTTACCTATCCTCACCCCTCCCTTGTGTGCTCTCACTTTTATCATGTGCTCAAAGTCCAATCCCCTTGCTGTGTTTGCCCTTGATCTAATGTCCACATATGAGGGAGAACATACGATTTTTGGTCTTTTGGGCCAGGCTAACCTCACTCAGAATGATGTTCTCCAATTCCATCCATTTACCAGCGTAAATGGCTACATAAAATTCCATTGTGTACAGATACATTTTCTTAATCCATTCGTCAGTGGTGGGGCATCTTGGCTGTTTCCATAACTTGGCTGTTGTGAATAGTGCCGCAATAAACATGGGTGTGCAGGTGCCTCTGGAGTAACCTGTGTCACAGTCTTTTGGGTATATCCCCAAGAGTGGTATTGCTGGATCAAATGGTAGATCAATGTTTAGCTTTTTAAGTAGCCTCCAAATTTTTTTCCAGAGTGGTTGTACTAGTTTACATTCCCACCAACAGTGTAAGAGGGTTCCTTTTTGCCCCTGCATCCTCGCCAACACCTGTTGTTGGTGGTGTTGCTAATGATGGCCATTGTAACAGGGGTGAGGTAGAATCTTAGCGTGGTTTTAATTTGCATTTCCTTTATTGGTAGAGATGGTGAGCATTTTTTCATGTGTTTTTTGGCCATTTGAATTTCTTTTGAGAAAGTTCTGTTTAGTTCACTTGCCCATTTCTTTATTGGTTCATTAGTTTTGGGAGAATTTGGTTTTTTAAGTTCCCTATATATTCTGGTTATCAGTCCTTTGTCTGATGTATAGTTGGCTCACTTTATTTATTTATTTACTTATTTGTTTGTTTCCTCACTCTCCCTGAGTTGGGAGGAATAAACTACATGATGACAAGAACCTAGTGTCAGCATACAAAATGTCCTTAATAAATTCTGGATTTAATTAACAGTGATCTAGTTCTCAGCATGTGTAATTAATCCCATAATAAACATGGTAGGTAGGATTTTCCAAAAAAAAATGAACCAGCCTTATTTAAAAGCACATGAGCAAGCAGGACTTGTTCAGAGGACCACAGTTATTGGGACTAGAATAAATAGTGAAGTCCCTTGTATGCCATACTGAGGACTTTATTTTTTTTTTTATTTCTTATTTCTTTTATGTTGGGGGGCATTACTAGGGTTTAAACTCAGGGACTCAGGCTTTCTAAACAGGCACTCCACCACTTCAGCCACCCCACCAGCTCTTTTTTGTATTGGGTATTTTCAAGATAGGGTCTCACAAACTATTTGCTCAGGCCGGCCTCGAGCCGCGATCCTCCCGATCTCTGGCTCCAGAATAGCCAGGCATGAGCCACTGGCGCCTGGCAATATTTCTTTTCTAATTCAAGAATTTAGATGATGAGCTGGGTACTGGTGGCTCACACCTATAATCCTAGCTATTTGGGAGGCTGAGACCGGGAGGACCATAGTTTGAGGCCAGCCCAGGGAAACAGTTCTCCAGACTCCATCTCCAAAATAACCAGGGAAAAATGGACTTGAGGCATGACTCAAGCAGTAGAGCACCTGCTTTTCAAGCATAAAGCTCTGAGTTGAAACCCAGTCCTACAAAAAAAAAGGAAGAATTTAGATTATGAAAGTATATTAATAAATTAACATATAGTAAGACATATTCAGGTAGGATGGCGATGGAAAGGTTTTGACAGCTCCAAAGAATGTAACTGACTAGCCTGAAAGAGATAGTCAGGCAGACCTGAACTTCAAATTCTACCTCCATCTTGTACTAGTAGGGGTCCTTGGTCAAGATATTTGATCTTTCAGACAACAGATTCTTCTGGGAGGACTGTACTTGGGAGGGTTCAAACTCAGGACCTTGCCTTGCTAGGCAGGGGCTCTACCATTTGAACCACTTCACCAGCCCTTTTTTTGTTGATTTTTTTTTTCATTTTTCTTTTATTATTCATATGTGCATACAAGGCTTGGTTCATTTCTCCCCCCTGCCCCCACCCCCTCCCTTACCACCCACTCCACCCCCTCCTGCTCCCCCCCCCTCAATACCCAGCAGAAACTATTTTGCCCTTATTTCTAATTTTGTTGTAGAGAGAGTATAAGCAATAATAGGAAGGAACAAGGGGTTTTGCTGGTTGAGATAAGGATAGCTATACAGGGCATTGACTCACATTGATTTCCTGTGCGTGGGTGTTACCTTCTAGGTTAATTCTTTTTGATCTAACC